AGGGTGTCTCTACCTGCCAAATTCTGCCTACAGCTATCCCAGGCTTTTGCTCACGCAGGAGCAGGACCCTCCGTAGCAGCTGGCGATGCTGGCACGGGGGCACCGCGATTTTTGGGACCGTTTAGTGTTAACCCCTGCCACGCCAGCAACCGCTCCGGCTCTCCCCTGGTGCCGCTGCCCTGGCCAGCCCGCAGGTGTGCAGGGGGCCCAGGTGGCCTCGGTGAGCACATCCTTTGAGGTGAGGAGCCCGGGGCTGACAGTGGCCCCGGGCCAAGCTGCCCTGACCATCTGCTCCGCTCTGTGCCAGCCCGACGGCTGCTATAACGAGCGTGCGTGCGCTGGGCGCGGGAGCCGCCGGTAACAGGAGCCGCCGGACCCCGGCGAGGAGCTGACTCTGTCTTTTCGGCTCTGCCCCGTGTATATTTATCTGTACGTACAAACACAGCCGCCGGCAGAGGTGGCTGGGTGTCCCCAGGCTGTGCCGGTCCAGCGTCCCTGTGCCTGCGGCCCCGTCCAGCCTTGGGGCTGTGGGGAGCAGCCGAGGGACTGGAGGGCACCGAGGGGGAACTTGGCGTTGCTGAATGTGGGCAGCAGGATTTGGGGGGGTTCTGTGCCCGTTTGCTGTCCAGAAAAGGGGATGTCAGGGGTCCCTGCTGGCTTGTAGCAAAGCCAAGGGCCAGGAGCCACGAGGCACATTGGGATGGTGAGAAGGAGGGGGGAGAGCAGGAGCAGGCCCTGTCTTCTTCCTTTTGGGAGCAGCAGTGAGTGCCCCGGTCATAAATGTGACTTTTATCTAAAATATACACCTTGGGAATGCAGAAGAAAAGCAGGAAAGGGCTTTTCTCAGTGCTAAAGAGCTGCCAACAAACACCTGACTCCACATTTTGATTTGAGCCAATCAAACAAACGCAGCCCAAAGCACGACTTTCTCTGAGCTGGGGTTTGGTTTTTCAGTGGAGCGTGTTATCAAAGGCAGAAATGTGGCAAGAGGATTGAATGAGGACTCCTGGGGTATTGTGTGCCCAAGGACGTGGCACAGCACGTGGATTGGGGCATTTTCTATTATTCTAATATTCTGTCTTTGAATCTTAGCCCTCGCTCTCCTTGTAGCCTGTAAAATGCACGAGGCCACTCCTTATTCGGAAAGAGATTTTCTTTGAGAGCCAACTTAATGCTGGTTTGGATCAGAGTGACCCTCGCAGGGAGACTCATTTCCACCAAGCTTAAAAATCTTTCAAGAATTGCCCTAAAAACAAAATGTGTCAACATTGAAAGAACTGCTTAAAAATAAATCAGAACTTATGCTACCTGAGGTTAAGGGACCAGAAATGTAAATTTGGGAAGAAAAGGCTGGTGGAAGCTCCCTGCAATGTTCCCTAAACCTAACAAGGTCTTTTATTTCCATCCCAAAAGCATAACGAGAGTCAAAGAAAAAGAAACCTGAATCTAGTTGACTTAAAGGTCATGAGACTTAGCGTCGGGATATTTGAGGTCTCGTGATTTTTTAAATGTTAATACTGCAAGGGCTGCTGTGGGAGATTCACTGCCACAGTTCCCAGCTCTGACCCAGAGACTCGAGCTGTTTCTGCCCTGCTTTAGTGGAAGTTTGATGATGGAGTTACCAAGTTATCTGTAGGAAAGGTCTCTTATACAAGGCCCATAAGAAAGCACCAAACTGGAGATTGTTTTTTTACTAATTCCTGTAACATTTCTGATGTTTTCTGATCAGCCCCCAAAGCATTTAGGTTTTGAGGATTTTGGCAGCTAAAGCCACTGTCATCTCTTGTTTTTGTCCTCAGGGGGTCTCAGCACACCTTAAAGAGGTCACCTGAGCTCCTGCCTGAGTCTCGAAGAGTGAGGACTGAGATCTGAGGGTGAAGAACCTCATGAACCTGCTGCAGAGCTGAGGTTAGAGGCACATTTCTCTTTAGTACTTGATGTTCTGAGCCTGCCTCTCCTCTCCTTTTCCCAGCCCTGAGTTTTACCCTCACATCACCTGGAAGCTGTTGGTTGAAATATTTCATACTCGGTTTATATGTAACGCTCAACAAGTGCACAGGATGGCTCTTAAAAGGTCACATTTATACAAATCTGTAATGCATGTGTATAAAATAGATCAGTTTAGAGTGAATTCTGAACTCCTGTAAAACATGGAAAGGTTTCCTTAGGGCAATCCACTTTAATGCTTGGTCAGAGGAGGCCTGGACCTCACCACCCTCATAAGGAAGAATTCCTTCCCAATATCCCACCTAACCCTGTCCCCTGGCAGTGGGAAGCCATTCCCTCTTGTCCTATCTCTCCAGGCCCTTGTCCTAAGTCCCTCTCCATCTCTCCTGGAGCCCCTTCAGGCACTGAAAGGAGCTCTAAGGTCCCCCTGGGGTCTTCCCTTCTCCAGGTGAACAACCCCAGCTTGCCCAGCCTGTCTCCAGAGCAGAGGGGCTCCAGCCTTTGGAGCATCTCTGCGGCCTCCTCTGGACTTGCTCCAGCAGCTCCATGTCCTTGTTATGTTGGAAGCCCAAGAGCTGGAGGCAACTCTGCAGGTGGGGTCTCACCAGAGTGGAATAGAGTGGCAGAATCACCCCCTCGACCTGCTGGCCTTAAGCCCTCTCCCATCTCTGCCCTTCCTGGGAATGGCTGCAGACACACCAGCCAGCCATGGAGCAGGGGGTGTGGGCTGTGCCTCCAGCTGCTCCATCATCCTGGCTCTGAGCATGGAGGTGACACTTCTCCCCAGCAGCAGATCCCCCCCTCAGCAACTCTTCTCGGGGGCTGCTTGCCCTGACCAGGGATGGGGATTTTCCCAGCCGGAGTTCCTCGGGGTACAAGATAAGGAGGTGAACTGCAGTTGTAGTGTCAGCTGAGGGGCTGTGATTTACCTGGCTGATGGCACTCCAGGGCCAGTTACACCCCGGGGTTGTGTGCTGCCTGATGGACTTCCTTCTGGGAAAAGCTACTCAGTCACTCAGCTGCTGAGAAGCAAATCCTGATGATTCAGTGTTGCTGTGTATGACTTAGATGAGGTGAATCCTTGTTCTGCACTTAAATCCAGAGGGGCAGGTGCTCAGCTGCTGAATCACATCTGCCCGTGAGCAGCTCAATCCCCGCAGGGCAGGAGAGCTGTGGTATTTACACCGTGGTTTACAAACCCTTAATGCCTCCGTGCAGCCTCTGGGGTGATTGCCCACATTATGCTCAGTGCCTGCCAGTCCCTTCCCAATGCAAACACCTAATTAATTCCCGTGCTTTTAAGGAAATGAAGCCATACAGAAATATGCCACCGGTAACAAATTATGTGGTACCAGTGCCACCGATTAATGCTGCAGGAAATAATACTCTATTTCAGATGCTGAATGGTTTTTTTTTTTTTTGTTCTAAATTAATTTGCCATCATACAATAAATCACAGAATGAATCATAAAATGGTTTGGGTTGGAAAGGACCTCAAAGATCACCCAGTTCCAATCCCCCTGCCATAGGCAGGGACAAAAATACCATCCTGCCTGGAAGTTGCTAAATTAACATGCAGACATTGTCCAAAGGGCTAGAAGGGAATTTTATTTTTTCCCCTCTTATTTTCATTATCTGAGAGCAGATAAGTGTATAAGTCTGCAGTACCATGGATGGCTGTCCTAGTGTTCCCAGCTTCCAGCACACCTCCCATCCCAGTGCTCCCATCTTGCCTCTCCAGGAAGCTGATGGATACTGCAGGATTTCTAAAAACCAGCAGCTGCCAAGACACCATCAGTCCCTGCTGGAATTGTGATTACCTCCTTGCCCAGGTGATGCAGAAGCTTCGGATGTTTCCCATGCAGGTGAGGATGTGAGCAAGACCTTCTGGGGCTCTGTCAGACCGGCCACAGCTTCGCTTTCCGTGGGGTAGATGGGAAAAGTTGTGGGAAAAGGTGGAAGTGAGTGGAGTTTATAGTCCCACCAGGGCTGATCTTTGCACCTGCCAACTCCAGTAACAGTTCCATTTACGGGAGCTCATAAAGGAGATTTCTCTACCTGGCCAGGTGTGGTACCGAGCAGTGGCTGGGGGGGTGGTTTTGACGGGATGCCCGTGTGTGAGTGCACAGGGAAATGCCAACAACAAGCAGGTGCCATGGAGCACAGAGAGGCAATAAGGAAACGAGCTGGGGCAAGTTCCCTGCTCCTTACTGGCTGCCTGGAAGGGTGCAGGAAGTGAAAGCAAAAGAGAAAGCAGGACTGGAAAGCAGGTGTGGTGGGTGGTGGCACCTGCGGTTGTGCAGGAGGAGGTGTTTACCAACATGGGCTATGACTGCCTCGAAAGGTCTCTCAGTTTATCACCCAAGTGCTCTGTGCAAACACTCTAGAAAACACTCCAGGAACAGTGAATAGATTAAACCCCAAATGAATCTCACTGTTATCAGGCCCCAGAGTTGGGAGGTAACATCAGTTTAGCAGGGCTGGTGTGCAAGGATCAGCTTAAAAATAGCCAGGCTATCATTGTCAATATTTTTATTTATTTATGTAGTTTTCAGAAGCTTTCTAAGTGTCTGCTTAAGAAAAAGCAGCATCCTGAGACATTTCCCACTCCCCCTGGTTTGCAGGGTGACTCTGATTGGTGCCTGGTGCTGGGCACTGGGTGAGGAGCTGAGGGGCTCCTGGCATCCTTCTTGTAGGGCCATCAGAAATGATCTCAGGACATCAGCCAGGGAAGACCATCAATGCCAGGGGCAAATGAGGCTGAGAACAGAGACTGTTGGGTGTCCAGCTAATCATCAGGAGGGGAGAGCTGGCTGGGTACAATGGTTCTTCAGCAGGGGCTCCTGGTTCCACAGCTCCAGGTGGTGTGGGCAGGGCTGCAGCTGAGGGCAGGTTACATCCCCAGACACTGGGCACATCAGCACGTTCTGCTGGTTCAAATGCAGAAGAGCTCAGTTGAGAAAATGTGAAATGAAGCCTGTTGCTGGTCTAAACCCAGCTCTGAAGATGAAAGTAACCACTTCTACAAGTTTAAAACCAGTGCCATGTAGCAGCTCCCCCTCTCCCCATTCTTAATGCTCTGTCCTGCTAAGACATAGATTTAGTTAAAAAGAGATTTTCTTCAAATCCCACAGACTCTCACCCAGAAGGACACTGGGTGTATTCCTGGTGGGCTCTCAGCAGCTGGGACGTCTGGAAGGAGCAGCACAGCAGCATCGAGATGCTTCACCTGCCACCCAAACCCCACTGTAGGTAGTGAGAAATGAATTTGATAGTGTGGAAAATCTGGGCATTATTGAGAAGTTTAGTCAGTCTCCAACTGGATTAATTCACTGCTGGTAGTTGGAAAAATTCATAAAGTGCAGATCTGAATCAATCTTGCTGATTTTCCGTAAAGCATGAACATTATCTATGGCAAACTGCTGGAATAGCAGCTCAGGCTCGGACCAGCAAGAGGCTTTGTGTGCTGGGATGCTGCACCCTGGAGCCTGCTGGGGAGGGGCTGGGAGGGGTGTCCTGGCTTCCAGCCCCTCCACCAAGGCTGGCTTGGTGTTCAGCTGGGTCCCCTCATCACCAGCCGTCGTGTCCCTGCCCTCGTGACAGTGTCTTTCTTTTCCAAGTGGAGCAGCACTGTGGGTGTTACTTGCTGTACGTTATAGCCTGGTGGCTTTGCCACACTGTCCTGACCATGGAGCTGGACATTTAAATCCCCAGCATCCCAAATATCACCTTCAGGATGCAGCTTTCAGAAAATAAAGCCGGATGAGTTGAGCTCTGGTTCCGTGACTGCAGTGAGCACAGTGAAAATCTATTAAATGCGTTTCTAGGGAATAATTTCCTGGCTTGTACTGCACTGATCACAGATGAGGTTTGAATTTGGGCTAGAGATATAAAAAATGCACCAATTAAGCTGTTTTTTTTTGCACCTGGCAAGAGGTGAGTGTGTGAAAGTTAAAGTGGCCTTGGCTCGTGTGGAGCGGGGTTATCTGTGCCGGCCATAAATCGAACCGGGACGGCTTAATTGCTCCTTCACAGTAAATAAAGCTCTGACTGAGATGTCTGCTCTCTAATACAGGGGGGATCTCCCGGGCTGTGGAGGATGATAGCTAGCCGGAGAAATCCATTCCGGGGCTCTTTGGGATCGATAAGCAGTTAAGGGAGCGGCGGGAAGATGACATTGCCTGTCTTTGTGCGCACACACCGCAGAGGGGCCGGGCCGTTAAAGGGCAGCGCTCGGGCTCGGAGCCATCGGCTTTAGAATGTGGTGGTTCCTGCTGGAATTTTGGACACTTGGTGAGGTAAGAGCAGCCTGTGCATCACAGTGAATGGTTGGGGACCATCACCCACCCTCACGCTGGGCCGGTGCCTGAAGTCAAGGTGATGGGCTGAGCCACCAGGTTCAGTAATGCTGTGAGGGCTCTGTGGCTCGGAGGGCTTCCAGGGCCAGCCCAGCTTGCAGGTGGCCAGCCCAGCTTGCAGGTGGCCAGCCCAGCTTGCAGGTGGCCAGCCCAGGGCTGCCTCACTCGGGCTGCAGCAAATCCACTGTCACGGTGGAGGGAGCTCGGGGGCTCAGAGCTGGTTTTAGCTGAAGGCTCCCAAGATGTGCTGTGGGGAGGTAGTGGCTCCATCCAGCTTTCTGCAGAAGGTCCCTTCCACTCATGACCATACTGCTGGTGGGTGGTTTGCGCTCTCAGCTTTTTTCTGTGCTGTTTTCCCCAACCCTGGAGAGGCTGGACCCTGCCATCAACTACGGGAAACGTAAATGGCAGTGTCTGGCTCATCCCTAATGATTTACCTGGAAATGCTGTTGTGCAGAAGGGAGATGAATTGCCACTTAGCTTCTAGCTCCTGCCCTCCTGCCTTTTAAAAGGGAAATATTGCGGCTGCTTTCTAGCCCCACTACTCCTCACCTGGCTTGTGTTTAATTATTAATTCTTCCCTGCCAGGGAAGAGCCGGTGGGACTGCAACAGCAGCTGGACCAAGCTGCTGCCCCTCCAGCCCCAAACCCACTGAAATTGAGAACAGACCAGGAAAAACTGAATTGTGAAGCAAACACTGTAGTGATTCTGCTTAGTGATATGTGGGGTTCCACCTGGCATTGCTCCCCTTAGGCACACACACCTTCCTCACTCCGGTAATGCAGGATGCTGGAATCTGTGGGTGAGACCAAACTCCCACCAGCCTCAGGAAGAGTTAGAAAACCCTTCTATCCTCTGAACTAAGTCTTTTTGGAAAGAGGAAAGTTCTTGCTGATGGTTTTGGAGCAGATGCACCCAGTGGCACAGTTTACCAGCAAACATTTGGGAAGGTCTAGGGTCAAGTCACGGTGTAAAACGTGATATATTACATTTCTTTTAGTGACCATGTGAAAAAATGGCCCAGCTCACAATCACTTTGGCAGGACAGAGGGATGTGAGGCTCACCGGAGCTGTTATTTCCAGTGGCTGATCTGCTTGGCCTTGTTTAATCCATCGTCCTTGAGCCAATCTGCTGAAGTGGCACTGAGTGCACCCCGATGCAAAGCACAGGCTCACAAAGCTGGGGCTGGACGAGGCATCTGGTGCACCAAGGCACCACCACCTTCTGCCTCAAGGTTTTCCAGCAGGTAGGTGTGTGACCCAGTCTCAGTAATGCTAATTCTAATGAATTTTTTTTTAGGGGAAGGTGGGGTAAGCCCTTGCAAAGTACTTGTAGATCTGTGCTGTTCAAGCTGAACAAGCTTAATGGCAGAGTTGGAAACACGAGTCAGGACTTGGCTGTTTTTGTGGTGGTTTTTTTTTTTTTTTTGTTTTTATGTTTTTGTTGTTATTTTTTTTTCTGAAGTGATATTGTTTGGTTTTGAGCAAGTGGTGCCACGGTTCTCCAAAAAATGTGGAAGTGGGGAGCAACCTACAAAGTGTAGGAGCAGAAATTCCCTCAGACATCCCCCCTACTCTGACCTGGCTAAAACGAACCAACAGGTTCTAAAATTGTGGGGTAGGGAGTGGGGATGGATGAAAATGTGCTTTGTTTCCCCAAAGAGGCTGACTGCAAAACCTGTCTCGGAAAAAGAAAGTACATGCTTTGCCCTTTGCCACAGGGAATGTTTTCCCTCTTGTGGTATCCATTAAAATGAAACTTTAACTGTTTAAAATGATCCTGCCCTTACCTCTGTGGCCTTATTTAGATCTAGACACATCCCGTCCTCCCTCCCTGCCCGTGCCAGCCCTGTCACAGCGTTATGGAGTGTTGGGATGTTGCACATGTACAGGTGGTGCTTCCAAAAGCATCCGTGTGGATGGACGTTTGGATCCAGGCTGTCAACGAGGACAGCATTGTCCATCCCATGGGAGCATCGGGCTACATTCCCTAGAATATAACCCCTTCCCAGCATCATCCTCCATCACCCTCCTGCCAAAATCCCTTCTTTGCCCTCATTCCTCCTCTTCTGTGGCTTCAGCATTATGTTGTTGTTTTTTTTTTTCCCCAGAAAAAACAAATCCCTGAGCTTGGCAGCATTGCATGGACACGTGAGCTGGGGGAGGGATGGCAGCTTTCTCCCTGCCCTTGGCCGCACCATCAAAGCGCTGTGGGCACTGAAAAGCCTGGGCAGGGGTCTTGCTGAGCTCTGCAGCTGTGCAGGAATTGCTCTCCAAATTCGAGATGTTCTCTGTATTTATTTTTCCGTCTGGGTCCGTTTGCTGACAGCCAACAACCCGTGGCTTCGGGCAGCCAGTGCCTGCGCTACATATTTTTGTTCATCCGTCCCTCCCTGCCAAGAGCTGGAGTCAGACAACTGGCTCCGGCTGGTGCCAGCTCTGGTTGCTCACACAGGGATTAGCACGTAAACTGCTTTGGTCCCCCTGTGGAGGCCGAGCGTGGCCTTCTCTCTTACCCTCCCGCTGCAGTTGCCTCTGTGAAAGATGTCTCTGACTTTGCTCTTGACTTTCTGCAAGAGGTTGTTGTAAGAAAAGGAGAAAAGGATTTTTCCTGGTTTTTTTGGGTGTCTCTGCACCCTGGGTAATGTGGGAGAGCATGAGTGCCTCGTGGTCCACCGTGTCTCAGGCTGCTCCCATGCTCGCCCCTTGGGCTGGACACCAAGAGGGATTAAGGGGAAGTGTTGGACCTGGGGATCTCCAGAAAACCAAGAAGTAATCTCCTAGTGCTGAGAGACTAAAACAAACCCTCCCTGAGATGGTGGGCACGACTGGATTTCTCACTTACAAGCGAAGCTGTTGTGGTTTCTCTGTGCTCGCAGCCCTTGCCCAGGACTCCACAAACAGAAATAAAATCAGCCAAAAAAAATACAAGAGGCCTTGAGATGAGAACTGGGCAAATGATGAAGGAAGACAGTAAAACCAATGTAGAGATCTTGGGCCACCTCATCAAATAGCAGGAGCTGGAGTGGGGGTATTGATTTCAGCAGAGCTGAGCCAGTTTATGCAAGTTAGGGCTCTGACCTAAGTATTTCACCGTAATAAAGATATCCAGATGCTGGAAAACTTCCAGGGAAACTGTCTCCTTGGATCAGGTTGGTTAT